AGCGTTGAAGCTGGTTGAGTTGTACGGGAAATGTGGGGTGCTGGAGGATGCGTGGAAGGTGTTCGAGGAAATGCCTGAACGAGATGTTGTTGCGTGTACTGTTATGATGGGTTCGTGTTTCGATTGTGGGATGGTGGAGGAGGCGGTTGGGGTGTTCAGTGAGATGAGAAATCGGGACACGGTGTGTTGGACATTGATGATTGATGGGTTGGTAAGGAATGGGGAGTTCAATAGGGGGTTGGAGATGTTTAGGGAGATGCAGGTGAAGGGTGTGAGGCCTAATGAGGTTACCTTTGTTTGTGTCTTGTCTGCGTGTTCACAGTTGGGAGCTTTGGAACTCGGGCGGTGGATTCACGCCTACATTGGGAAGTGCGATGTCGAGGTTAACTGGTTTGTTGCCGGCGCGTTGATCAACATGTATTCGAGGTGTGGTGACATTGATGAGGCTCAGGTTTTGTTTGATGGGGTAAAAGTGAAGGATGTGTCAACTTATAATTCCATGATCGGGGGATTGGCTATGCATGGGAAGAGCAATGAAGCTGTTGAGTTGTTTAGGGAAATGCTTATGCAGAGGGTTAGGCCAAATGGTATAACATTTGTTGGGGTTTTGAATGCTTGCAGCCATGGAGGGTTGGTGGATTTGGGTTGTGAGATATTTCAATCAATGAAAACGGTTCATGGGATTGAACCAGAAGTAGAACACTATGGCTGCATGGTTGACATTCTTGGCAGGGTAGGTAGGCTTGAAGATGCCTTTGACTTCATTGGGAGGATGGGAGTACAAGCTGATGATAAAATGTTTTGTTCTTTATTAAGTGCTTGTAAAATCCACAAAAACATAGACATAGGAGAAAAAGTTGCAAAACTTTTGAGTGAACATTCTGGGCTAGATTCTGGATCATTCATCATGCTGTCAAATTTCTATGCTTCTTTGGGAAGATGGAACAATGCTGCAAAAGTTAGAGAAAAGATGGAGAAGGGAGGAATGATAAAGGAACCAGGGTGTAGTTCTATTGAAGTCAATAATGCAATTCATGAATTTCTTTCAGGAGACCTTAGACACCCTGAGAGGAAAAGAATCTACAAAAAGTTAGAGGAGTTGAACTATTTGACAAAGTTGGAAGGTTATTCACCAGCAATTGAGGTGGCTTTACATGATATTGACGATGAACAAAAAGAATTGGTTTTGGCTGTTCATAGTGAGAGACTTGCAATATGCTATGGCCTAATCTCAACTCAACCTTTCACAACACTTAGGGTTGGGAAAAATTTAAGGATATGTGATGATTGCCACGCAATGATCAAGCTCATAGCAAAAATTACTAGGCGAAAAATTGTGGTTAGAGATCGTAATAGATTCCATCATTTTGAAAATGGAGATTGTTCTTGTAATGATTATTGGTGAGTAATACTGAGGTTTAGTATATATTATGACGCATGATTATTCAAACCCAGAATTTGTTAATATATCAGCATCTGTTTGAGTTTGACAAAATTATATTATAGGAAGATTTTCCTTAAATTTATATGTTTTAATTAATCATATTGTTGATAGGAAAAAAATAATTTGACACCCCTTCTTACAATTATACAAATGATAATAATAATATAAAAATTTAAAATGAGTTGTTGAATAATTGTTTTTATTTTTTTCAATATTAAAATATCAGCACTCATAAAAAAATATTAAATATTAAATATATATATATATATATATATATATATTAATATAAATATAATAAATTAAATATATACTTAATCAATAATAATAATTATAAAAATACAAATTTTTATTTTTATTTTTTTAAATAATATATAAAAAACATAAAATTAATTTATTATAAATATAATTATTAAAAAAAAATTAAAGACAGTAATAAAAACTTAATTTCATCGAAAAAGAGAGACAGATGGTAAGTATAGGTAGATTAGGGACCAAATGGTAAGCATATAATAAATAATTGAAGCATAGGTATGTATGTCAATAAGACCCGTAAGGAGAATACTGATATTTTGACATCGAAGAAAGAAAAAAAAATCATTCAACAACTCACTTTTAAATTTTTAAATCATTATTTAATTATTTTCATTCTTTCTCTCTCCATCAAACAACCAAAATATTATTATTTTAAAATTATCATTTGTATGTTTACCAAAAAGATATCAAAATATTTTCTTTTATAGATATAATCCTTATAACATTATTATTATAACACCGTATTTAAATATTTAATTATATCTATAAATTAATTATTTTTTAAGTTGTCATTTTAAAATATTAATAAATATAAAATATATAATTTATGAGAAAATATTTAATAAGTTAATTTTATTTAATTAGTGTAAAGTAATAAAAAATTTAATTATCAATTTTTGTTATTCCTTTAAAATAAAATTATTTAATTAAGATAAAATAAGATATATGATAAATAAGAATAATAAAATCAAAACATGGCATAATAAAAACTAGAAGTAAAATAATATTTAGTATTATTAAGATTGATGCAAAATATTTAGAGAAAGATAAAGAAGAAGAAAAATTAAATTTTTGTTTATCAAATTGGTTGAAGAGATTGAAAAGAAAATAAATTGATTGAAGAAATTAAGAAAATGTGAATGAGCAAAAGATAAAAGAAAGAATATAATGTATTGAACTAATTGGTTAAAGAGATTGAAAAAGATAAAAAGAGTGAAAATAGGTAGAGAAGAATGAAGAGCACGAATATAAGAAATGATATTTTAAAAATATTAATATTTTTGGATTTATGTTTTAATATAAAGTCAAGATGGGAATGAGTAATACAATCATTATCCAACTATTTAAAATGAGAAAAATCTAAACTCACATCCACATAAGGTCAATTGGATTTTTCATCATACCTAGAGATGAATAATGCAATCTCTATCCAACTTTTTAAAGCGGAAAAAATTTAAAATCACACCCACGTCAGGTTAATTCGATTTTTTCCATCAAACTCAAGATGGAGATGGATCAATCCCCTTAAGTATATGTTTAATTTCTATCCTTAAACTTAAATGATACAAAATTATTAAATTATCTAAACATTTTTTTTAACTCTTGTTAAATTATCTAAAAGTAACTATGCACATAAGAATCATAACTATTTACTATGATCATTCTTAAATGTAATGTTATAATCTTGAAAGTTGATGAAATCTAACAATAAGCTTTAAAAAAAGCTAAATTTTTTGAATTTGGATACTCACACTACTTAGGTAAAACAACTAACTCTTAAATGTAATGTAATCCACTATTTTGATAAACTCGACAGTTTAGGCCTTATTTCCAAAGCCATCAAATAGTTGTCAAGAGCGATTACTCAATTGCTAATATATTGCGAAAACCAAAGTTAGTCGGTCAAATGATCACCTGGTCTATCAAGTTGTCAGATACTCATTACGAACCATGTGGACCCATCAAAGCACAATGCTCGGTGAGTTGCCAAATACTCACTACGAATCATGTCAAACTTCGTAAGTGAAATGACCCGACACCACCAGTCGAGTGGTGGACACTATACATGGATGTCTCTTCAAATAAGAGGAAAAATGGAATGTCCTTAAAGGCTTCGGGAACCTTTCCCTCAAGGAGTCCCTACTATTCGGCTTCAAGGCCTCCAACAATCAAGTCGAATATGAGGTGTTGATAGTCGAATTTCAGTTGGTCAAGGAAATGGGAGCAAAGAGATTAACAGGATTGAGTGACTCGCAGTTGACTGTAGGTCACATATATGGTGAATACCAAGTTAAGGACCCCCAACTATTAAATATATCACCTAGTGACTAAGCTCTCGATAGAATTTTAAGAGGTGAAAGTTGAACATATTCAAAGATTAAGAAATCAGATCAAGTATTAAACCAAGAAAACCAAACTGAATTGAATAAAGTTCAAGCAGAATTAAAGAAAGTAATGGAAGAGGAAAAGAAACACAAGAATTGTATTGGTTCACACAAACCACTGGACTACATTCAGTTCTAAACCAAATTCCAGTTAAGTTCCACTAAATTGAATAATTTGATTTACATAATCAAATTATAGAAAATTCAACTTACACCAATAACCAAATTTCAGTTCTTGAACCCAACCTGCAACCAAATTCCAGTTGCAAAGCCAAACATGCACCAAGAACCAAATTTCAATTCTTGAATCCAACCTGCAACCAAATTCAAGTTGCAAAACCAGTGCCTAATCTTCTAGACACCAAGACAATACAAAATAGAATTAAAAGAATGAAGAAACTAGAAAAATCAAACTTAATTATGATGCAGAAATTCCACTGCAGAATAAGTTTCTTCATAAGCAAAAATACAAAAATGCCTCAAGAAATAACTTCAAAAAATCCCACTGAAACTAGCGTATTTCTCTCTTGAAAAGATATTTATTGATTACTTGAATGATTTCTACAAGATGTGTTTTTAAAATGTTGAAATAAATCTATTTATATAGAGATTTTTCTAATATATTGGTTTAATTAATCGGTTAATTCGTATTTTAATCGATTAAAAAATCTTGTTTCTAACTGTTTCTACGAGATGAAAATATCATTTAATCGATTAAAATATTCTATAACACTTTTCAAAAATATTTTAAGCTGATAAAACGCGATTTAATCAATTAAAACGAGTTACACAAAAATCTTTAAGTGATTTTAATCAATTAATTTAAAGTTTAATCGATTAAAATAGTGCCAAAATATTTTCTAAAACTTCTTAAGTGTTTTTAATCGATTAATTCGAATATGTATGGATTGAAACACTTATTTATACTTATTTTAAATGGTTTTAATCAATTATTTTGAAAATATATTAATTAAAAATATATCAAAAATATTCTAACTAATTTTAATACGTAAATATATCAATTAAATAGGAAATTTATACAATAAAAATAAATAAATAATTATATTTACTTAATATTAATGCAAACTCACTAAATTCTACGTCTTTATCCCATAAATTTTGTTAACTTCAATAAATCTTCAATCATCATATTCCAGATTCTCGATAAGCACACGCTCGACGTTTGCGGTGGTGAAAGAGCTGGTCCATGTACTCTCCACACTATCACCATGAACATAACCCACGAACATACCTCCTACCCACACAGATGACCCACCCAAGTAGAATTGGAAGAAAGCAGGGACTAGTCGAAGCACTCGAACTCAAGTAGAAGCAAGAAAAAATGGTCCACCGCTGGCCCATTGTACAGATATGGGCACAAGAATGAAGGCATCTAACACGTCAATCATTGGATCGCACTCAATTCAACAGTCCAGATCTGTCAGGTTACATGACTTTCAATAAAAAGCCTTTGAAATTATACAAGCTCTTTGTTGCATAGACTTGGGCCTAGGGTTTTTATGAACCACATAGTAGGGTTATGAACCATTCTACTTGCTCAAGGCCCTTACAAATGCTATAAGTTCAAAGAAGAAAGGTAATAAATACTTTTATTTCGATAATAGTGTATTACAACAATTTTATATTTTTATTTTGTAGATCTTAAAAATTATAACAAAAAAGTTTATCCGATAAAAATATATGACACTCTTTTTACACATATCTTAAAAGTAATATATATTAAAATCAAAATTCATGCTCAATATCTATCGGTACATTATACCCAACTTTACTACCATGTAGACCATATCCCAATGCACAAACTCATGAAATGGAAGGTTACTCAAGTCCTAATCTTATTTTTCATTAATAACTATTATACATTAACATTTAAGTAAGAATGATTTTAATAATATATTTTTAATAAATAATAAACAAATATAAAAAAAAATATGTATGACTCAGTTATTAATGTATGATTCACAGTTTTATCATTTGCCAAGTGTTTTGAAAATTGTTTCGGATCAAATGTGTTTAGGAAGGTAAAAGCAAAAGCATTTTAATTGTTTCATATATTCATAATTTATCTGTTTTGAGAACAGTTTTTTGGAAAAACTTCTCTTATTAAACGCTTTATGTTCACATATTGAATGTACACAAGAAAAAGATAGATGATTTTCGTAATTAGTCAGAAGCAATTTTGTGTTTTGCTTTCTGCATCCTATAGACTAACATAACAACTGGTGGTAACATCCTAGCTACAAGCTACTCCTGAACTAGATGCGTCAGCACCAAATTATATGACAAAGTTGTGCTTCTTTCCTTCTCCATTTTTTCTTCAAAAGAAGGTAAAATAGTTTCTTTTAACAGAAACATGATTCAGAAGATAATCTGTAGTCTGCAATTGTTTCTTGAGTTAGTTGAATGTTGAACAAGCCTAGAGATGAAAGCAAGACAATTCTTTCTTGAACAAATATGTTTTCCCATTGTCTATTCCACAACTTTTGTTGTTTTTTACACAATCTTCCCCCTCTATCAAAAACTTGCTCATCCTAGTTAGAAGGAAAGATTTATGTTGCCACTGTGTTTTGCAGAAGTTTATGATGAACCTACATGTTGTCATCTCCTCCTTGCTATTTGAAATGTCCTTTTTAAGAAATTATTTGCAACTCGATCGTTTCGATAACACAATACCCTTAATATTGTGTTGGGGTCCTTTCTATTCCACTTTCCTGTAGTTGGAGGCATTGGCAACTTCTGGCCATTACCATTGACTCCTGCTCCACCTGTCTCACTAGATAAGGTACTTAAGTTTTCCACCAATTGTTCAGTACTCATTCCCATTAGTTCTATCACTCCCTCCACTACCTCAGCCTCTTTGTCCACCATATTTTCTGCTAACAATTCTTCTCCACAAATTGAGAAAACCGTCTTCAAACTCTCAAAATCCTCTAGTATAATCTGGTGATCAGATTCATTAAACACCCTGGTGGTTCCACCAGCAAGTAAAACAGTTAGGAATGCATCAAAGGAAGCCTTCATAACTTCCCTCACTGCTAGTTCTTGGGCTCTTTCTGTTAGAATTGCTGTCATTAGTTTTATGTTATGCTTCAGGATTGTCAATATTTTATTGATCCGAGCGTTGGCTACCTCACCAACATAGAGGCTATCATAGAAGAAAGGGTTTGAGTCAAAGAACATGAGCCGGTAGGAAGCAACTTCTGAGACATGTTGGCATGCTGCTAGGATAGCAGTGTTGGTTGTTTCAAAGTATGAAGTGATGCTACTATTTCCAGAACTGTGGCGATTTGAAGGAACAACTCCAGGTGACAAGGAGAGTGATTTGTCAAGTGAAGGGATATGAGAAAGGAGATAGTGTAAGGTGTTGAGACGAATGTAGAGGCGTTGTGTTCCACGGCTAGTGCATGAGTGAGGATGCTTAGCTTCATACAAGGAATATATGTTCGGATCTTCACAACTAACACTGCATGGGCTAGCTATCTTCCACAACATGTGGAACTTTGAGTTCCTATTGCACCTGGTTAGTGGGGGAAGGGAGGGAATGTAGTTCTCTTTCAAACCTGAGATAATTTAGATCAAAACAATAATAAATCAGAATGCCCTCTGTTGCTTCTCAATCATTATAATTTGACTAACTAGTACCATAACTTTCATGTCTTCAGTGTTTTTCATTTTTATTTAAAAGTTCAAACAAAACAAGTCTGTGAAACTTTGTAGTAGACAAATTTAGTTTCAAGAGTACTTACCACATGCTGCAATAAACATTATGTACTCCCGGAAGACTTTTTGTAATGCTTCAACAAGTTCTTGAACTAAATCTTCAGTAATTGATATTGGAATTTGAAAGAATTCTTGCACAAATTTCTTGGCCAAAGTCATTAGCTCTACCACTGATTTTGCATACGGCTCTGACTTAGACTTTGGATTCCATGCCTAGATAAAAGGAAAACCAATGCATGAGTTATCCTCCAAAACAAAAATATGTTATGTAATTTTCTAAATGCACAAAATATCGTGTTCTCCTCCTGTTATATTTGTTAAAAAGAGGCTAAAACTTACCTCATTATCTTTTGCTCTCTGTACGCACTCTCTCAATTTAAGTAGTGATTCATCTATCCATTTTCTAATCAGGGTCATTATGGTTGACTCAACTTCAAAAGGAACCATCTCTCTCACTACTGTTTTACCTCCATCCTCACAATCAACCGAGTCTTCAACTACCATTTGAACCAAAACATCTTCTAGAATTTTAGCCCTGTGCAGTACTAAAATCACCTCGACGATTATTGGTGTGGTCGTTTCACTTAAATATTGCTTTAGCACAAGTCCGAAGCAATTGTTTAGTGTCACTGCTGCTACTGCAGCTGCTATTGAATGCCATTTCTTCAGTACTGGACTATAATTTTGCTTCTCCTTCATTGCTAACTGTTCAGTCTCTTGAGCCAGTTGGATCATAACTTCAGCTATATCTGTCTTTGTTTCAAATTCAGTAGATTTGGCATTTTCTTCTTCCATCATCTACAATCATTAGAAAACAAAGACGTATATAATATTGTTCTTTTTTACTTTTTAAGTAAAAAGCAGAAAATAGCATGGTTTTTTCTGAAATATGAGGACTAAGCATATAAAATTTAAGAAAGAATATATTCAACCCAAATTTTATGCATTCATCTAACATATTAACATACCTTTTCAAAAGCATTTTTCAATGAAGAACGAATATAGTCATCAATCAGGTCCTCGGAGGAATCCCTTGTAGTTCTATCTCTTTTCTCTTGAACTTCTTCATCAGAAACTTTGACATCTCTCAAAATCTTGGATGCTAACCTCACCACGGGGAGAAGGTTTTCAATTTGTTTGATACCATCTCCGTGAAAATACTCATGGTAGTCAAGAAATCTCTTATCTATCCATTCCTTCAGTGAACTGAGCACAGATGTCAGTATGTCAACATACAAGGACTCATTTTCTTTTTTAGTATCATTTGCCACCTCACTCAATGTGGCATGTGTGGCACAAAGAAGGTCAGGCTCTTCCTGCCCAGTTTGCACATATTGATGAAACATCACCCATGTAAAGCAAACATTGTGAATAGGCTTATTGATTCCCAATGTTGACCAAGTTTTCTTTATCAGATCAAGTTGCTCATCCACCTCATCAAGCACTAATGTCTCCTCCTTTAGATCAAAAATGGATCGGAGAAGGGAAATGTAGAGGTGAATGTTCACAGGGTATCCATTAGCCCAGTGACAAACATTGGTGAGATTGTCCTTGGGAGTTCTCATTGATAAGGAAATCACAGAGTTGGTAAAGGTTCTCATGGTATCTGAGTTTTTTCCAGTGTCCAAGGGTTTGGTTTCAGCATTATGTATAATTTCCTTAAGGTTCATGGCAAATGTGTTGCTCTTTTCGATGGGAATTGAAGGGTGAGACAGGAGACCTGCTTCAAGGAGCTTTAGTTGCCTCTTTTGCCACAAATGGTACTCATGGATATCATTGAACTCTGAAGGTTTTAAGTGACGAAGGAGTTCCAAAGGAAGAATGATAGTTTCTGCCTGTCGCCCAAGCTGCAATTCAAGTGTTTTGAAAGGAAAGTATGAAGTAAGAACTTTTCAAATATTTTATGAAACAAAAGCCTTGAATATGTAGTTAGTTCACTGTTTTCTTAATCCATTCTAGCTATATCCACACACTAATCACTTCATTAGATCACTCAGATGTCAATTATAAACAACAAAAGCCAAATATACATGTAGTTGGATTCCTTGTTTTCTAAATCCATTTTAGCTATATTCACACTGGTGTCTTCAATTATCATTTCTGCATGGAATATGAGCTAACTACTTTATCAGTTACAAGGAATTTATTATAAAAATAAATATTTTATTATGAATAGCTTAAAGTAAAAAAATTGCTCAAACAATATTCTAGATTTCTAGATATAGAATTCTCTATAATATAGTTTTATCAAATTATAAACAAGCTTCTAAAACCTCAAATACATTATTTCAGAGTTCTAACTAAGGACAAAACTAGAAAATATTATTAAAAGAGACTAAAATAAAGTAAACATATCATATGGAGATAATTGGCAATGAAGTCATTCTCATTGACACAACACTTATATATATTAAAAAAAAAAAAAAGCTTAACCAAATAATTACTTCAAAGTTCAAACCAAATAAAAATAGGTACTCAATTGTTGTCTGAACCCAAGTATTTGGCATCACACTAGCCATTGGCGATTTTGACAAAGACTGTTACGCGAAACTAAAATCACGAGAGAAAAAAAAAGCCCAAAAATAACATTGAAAACTCCACCCAGAAGAAAAGACTAAAAACAATGTAATAAACAAACAAATGCAACCATTTTATAGCAAAATGATCTTCCTAATTTTACCTTTTATGCAACTATCACCATAAGTATTTTAGTGATACTGAAAACGGATACACTTATTTAAAACTCAATTATAATAATATAATAAGAAGAAGAAGAATACTTTTATAGGGAATGTATATCATAAGAGGGTGTCAAAATATACTTTTTCAATATATTATAATGTCTACTAATTCTTATATATGACTTTTCAAATAAGTATTACAATTTCATGGAACAGTTTATGATTATATATAATGTAAAAAATAAAATATTATAATGTAAAAAAACAAGACGTTTAGACGTAGAAGAGAAGGTAAATGTTTGCATGATGTTATCTTACTTGACCAACAAGCGTCCTCACAAGTGTTTTCCTCAACCGACTATCACTCTGCTCGGACACCCCCATCTGCAGCCTCATGACTTCCGCCATCGTCATCGTCCGTCGTGGTACAGACCGAGACCGAGGACTCCGCTCCATCGCTGGCGATGCCGTCGCCACCGTCAGCCTTTGAGACAAGGAGCTTCTCATCATTTTTAGCCCAAGCGCTAGCTTCACCCTACTTGTCTGTGACATCGCCGGACTCTTCCCGCCATCACTCCCATCATGCTTCGAGTAAAAGGTGATCGCACTCCGCCCACCGAACCCCGGCGAGGATCGGCACGCTGTGAAGAGGATTTCATACGCAGTTTCCCTTATGTCATCATGGTCAAGACCCTCCAGCTTGAGAAACGGCCATGCGAGGTCGCTCTCATTGTCGTAGAGACACAACCTGTGCCAGCATAGAAGTTATGCTTCACATTTGTTACAGAAAGATTTTCTTCTGATATACATATATATCATAGCTTGCCATAATCCTTCTAAGCTTTTGAAAAATGGTTGCAAACTACAATTCCGACCACAACATCAATGTTTTTTAGGTGTCTGTGATTAGATGATAGTAAATTTAGCTGCAGTAGAATTGTTTGTAATTTCTGATGTAAAAAAATGATAAAATTGCGAATTTTTTTGCGGGTCATGAGATGACCACCATGTAGTTTAATACCGTGGCGGATCTTTGGGACAAATAAATAATATGAAAAGTGAGAATAAAATTATAAATATATAAGTAAATATATAAAATAATTATTAAATTTAGGGGATAAAATTATAAATTATATAAAAGAGTTTGAAAAGAGACTGAGCGAATATATAAGTAAATATATTTAAATTTTAGGTAAAATATCATAAATTACATATTACTTATAAAACTTTTGGTTCACTGCCCATCAATTCCCACGGTCACTGCTTTAATAAACAATTTTTTCAACATAATCTATAAAAACCCATGATTCATTTTTTGTCTTTTCACGAAAATACGTCATTGTTCTTGTCTGGAAAAAAAAACATGGAAAGGATAACGCATATAGTATTGATATCATAATAACCTGCGTTTGCTAGTATGGGAATAAGCGTCATGATGATAATAATCGTTGATGTGGGGTGATGAGGCGGAAGAGAGGAGGCCAGAGTCAGATTCCTGGTCGCATGGGGAAGGGAAGGGGCCAGGGTAGGAGTCGCGACGGGAGTGGGCATAGGTGCGCGGCGGCGAGAGCGTAAGGCAGGCGGGACCAGGAAGGGAGTCACGGCGGGCATGAGCGCCTTGGCGGCGGGTTTCGAAGATGGAGGGGGGAAAGGGATCCAAGGAGGAATCTTGTTGATGTTGATGTTGTTGACGTTGTTGTTGTTGTTGTTGTTGTTGTTGAGGTTGGAGGAGAGAAGGAAGAGGGATGGAGATGGTAGGGGACAACGGCGGGAAGGGGCCGGGAGCCGAGTCGCGGCGGCGGGCGTGGAGACCCATGTGGTGGTGTGGACGACAACAATGACGTCAAAGGAGAAGAGGCTGAGAAAAGAAAGGAAGGTGATGGAAAAGGTATTCTTGGTGGGTATGACAGTTAATTTAGGTTGCACGGGTTAGGTTTGATTAGGAGGACGTAATCTTACTTCTATATTAGTGATGATGCGTTGGGTTAGCTACAAATAATTACGTGCAATTTAAAAAAAGAAAAGAGATCCAAGCACTTTTTGGTATGCGTGCATGTCTTTGCTTAGATCAATGTTTAATAATTAGTTCATATTTAACATGATGTTTTCAAAGCAAACAATCTTGACGTAGTTATCAATGATATCATTATTCACAATGATATCTTATTTTAAGGATATATATTTGAAGGATCTTCTTCATCAAGAGTTTTAAAAAAAGGAAAAAAAAGTCAAAATTAATTTCTTCTAATTTATGCATTCAGATTTTTATTTTTGTGTACAAGTTAATTTTAAATTTAAATAAATATTTTTTTTTATAAATTATCCAAATATTAAATTGCTTTAATATAAAACTAAGAATGATAATTCATTAACTATTTATCTAATATGTATAAAGGGAAATTAAGTGAAGGGAATTTGAAGTTTGAAAGGGGTAGAGAGAGAGGAAGGGTGGTAGGGGTGACAAATTGAAATAAGGAAAAGGTTGAGGACAATATTGTCTTTATTGTTAAAAATAAGAAAGAGTGAACTTAGCTAAAAGAAAATGTTGAAAAAAAATGGGCCCATTTCCTTGCAACACTTTGGTTTTGGCCCATATAAAACACCGTTTTTCATGCCCTGTCTTTCCAAATATTTCATTATTTGAAGATAAAAACATTGATATAGTATACAATGCTGAAAATAATTATTTTAAATAATTATGTTGTTTGATTTTTATTTTTATTTTGCGCATAATAATTTAAAATACACATTTCAGAAATAAAATGGAAAACATTTTGTTGTCTTAATTTTTCTTAGGTAATATTTTTTTTTTATGTTTTTCAAGTATATATAAATTATTATTGAGTTTAACTTTTAAGTAATGTAAAACTCATGAGTTTATCATAACATAATTCTCTAATCGAAGACTAAGGGGTATAAGTAGAGTAAGACTTTATTCTAAGTCCTATGGTGGACACTAAATATTCTTACAGGATTGATGAAAGTTGATAAGGGGATGTAAGATTAGATTAAGAAAGATTAAATTCTAAGTTGCGACTTTAAGATTATTGAAATTATTTATTTTTAAAAGAGTCGAGACCACTTGCAAAAGCACTTTCAAGTCATTTTTAGAAAATTAAGTCCATGAATGTCAACTAGTAATAAAAGATCCAAATAGAAATTTTTAATTTTAAATAGACTAAAAACAATTTATTTTATAAAAATGGAAATCATACTTTTAAGTCATGATTTGTTTTTTTCATTAATACTTACTTCTATCATGAAATTAATCTTTCTTACTTTAACTAAAGATTCATATTTTATTGTGCGTTGTTGTCATTATGATAAAAAATAAATTATAGTTCTTTATTAATAACTATCACAATATGTTATTATGATTGTCAATGATAGTGATATTAGTAATTTATTCACGAGCTCTGTTGCGCGCTCTCATCTCCTATCGTTCATTGTCATCATGAGTGGAAATACAGATCATATTCTTAATATTAACAACCACTTATTTTTATACTCGAGTGAGAATCCAACAATTGTCATAGTCTCACATGTCCTTGATTCTAATAACTACCACTCATGGAGCAGATTCATGATTACTGCTCTTACTGCTAAAAACAAAGTTGAATTCATTGATGACATTAGTCCTCAACCACCAAAGTCAAATCCAACATATGGTTTGTGTTATGGATTGTTCATTCTGTTTCTCTCTCAATCCGACAAAGCATCCTATGGGTGGATCAAGCAGATGAAATCTGGAAGGATTTGAAATCTAGATATTCCCAAGGTGATCTTCTTCATATCTTTGATTTACAATTCGAAGTCTCATCTATGAAGCAGGTGAACTTAACATTAGTAAATATTTTACTAAGTTGAGAGTTATTTGGAATGAACTTGAAAATTTTAGACCAGATCCAGTTTGTATTTGTCAATTCAAATGCACTTGTATTGTTTCGTTTATACTTGCTCAACGAAAACTTGAAGATCGAGCTATGTAGTTTTTACAGGGATTAAACAAACACTACAGTAATGTTTGTTCACACATTCTTCTCATGGATTACCATTTCTTTTTAAAATTTTCTCCTATGTCTCTTTGTAAGAGATACAACTTACAAGGAACAACTTCTTCATCAATGCAGGATTTAACACCAAAGAAATAGTGGTGAATATTGTTGTTGTCTCTATTCATTGTACTCATTGTGAACATACGGGTCATATTGCAAGTACTTATACGAAACATAGGTTTCCTTCAAACGATGACAATAAAACTGGTAAAGGATTTATTAATCACAATACTAAATTTTGCTCTTATTATGGATGTATAGGGTGTACACACAATTGACGTGTGCTATAGGAAACATGACTTTTAGGACACAAACTCTACAATAGTGATAAAACTGTTCTCAGCAATAACATATTAACTGGTGAAAGTAAAGTCACTACAAATGATCAACAAAATCATGAGAACCAAGAATTTCACTTTTTTCCTTAGCAGTATCAAGCACTGCTAAATTTAATTCAACAATCTCAATCTTGATCTTCAGTTCCCAATACATCCCACATCAACCAAAGTATTATTTCTTCCTCTGATCAATCAGGTAAATTTAAGTCTATATTACCTTGGATCTTAGATTCGGGAGTTACCGATCATGTCTATTCAGGAGCTACCAAAGTGTTATTTCTTCCTTTGATCAATCAGGTAAGTTTCACTCTTACGTTAGAATTGATCCTGTAGTTGTTAAGTTGTCCATTGGTCAACATATTATAACTACTAATTTTGGAGTTGTTCGTTTCTCTTGTTCTTGTTATTTAATTGGTGTTCTCTATATTCCTAATTTTACTTTTAATCTCATTTCCATTTCTAAATTTGTAAATTCTCTTAATTGTATTTTGACTTTTTCATCTAATTCTTGCATCATACAAGATACAACTACCAATAAGCATATTGGTATCTGATGTAAATGGTAGACTCTACAAACTTGTTCTCAAACCTACTATTTACTCATCTATTTTATCCAACATTGTTCATCCTCAATGTAAATATTTACCTGTTGATCTTTGACATTTTTGTTTGGATCATCTTTTGCATGATCGTCTACCGTCTTTGAAAATGTTATCCTTGTTTATCCAGGGATAGGACTTTTGTTTGTAACACATGCAATTCTCAAAACAAATGAAACTATCTTTTTCTTTAAGCAATTCTCATGTAGCTAAACCTTTTGAATTGTTGCATATGGATATCTCGGAACCATGCTCAAAATTATCTATGCATTAACACAAATACTTTTTAACAATTGTGGATGATGATCACACACATTTTACATGAGTCTATTTAATGTTTTCCAAAAACGATACACAAACACATATCATCAATTTTATCACTGATAAAAAATCAATTTGAGACCCATGTTAAACACATTCGCATAGATAATGGTGTTGAATTTCTTATGCATTAATATTTTCTATCAGGCATCATCCCTTAAACACATGCATAGAAACACCTCAAAAAATGAAATTGTTGAACGGAAACACCAACATTTGTAAAATATTACACAGTATTCAATCATATTTAACACCAACTTTTTGGTGTTTTGTTTTACTTCATATAGTCTATTTTAATTAATTGCATTCCCACACATTTCTTGCATAACATATCCCTTTATGAAAATCTTTATCACCATCCCTATGATATTTCTAACCTTTGTATTTTCGGTTATTTGTGTTGCACTAAACTTCACCCACGAGCTCCCATTCCATTTTTATTGGCTTGAAACAGCATACCAAAGGATATCTCCTATATGATCTTCACACTCATACTGTTGAAACATCCAGACGTGTTATTTTTTATGAAAATTATTTTCCATACTTCTCCAATCCCCCATCCACATTATGTTTACCAAATACCCACTCTTTTCTCTTTGAGTCCGCTGATAAATACTCTCCTCTTACTGATGAATCATCTTCTCCTACTGATCAGTCACCTCCTCTTATTGATCAGTCATCTTCTACTGATCAACCATCTCCTCCTCTAAGATGATCCACTAGTATTCACCAATCGCTTACTTACCTTCAAGATTTTCACAACACATTTACATCAACTGGACCATCTTTTTCTCTTTCTTATGAACATATTTCACCCTCCTTTTATCATTTTATTTTATTTTTTCCATTTTATCGGTCTCTAAGCCTCACTCATATGTTGAAGCCTCCAAACATGATTATTGGATTAAAGCTATGCAAGCTAAAATCATTATTCTCGAAGTAAATAACACTTGGTATCTCACTCCTCCCAATAATATAGTCATTGGATATTGTTGGATATATAAGATTAAACACAATGTTGATGATTTCATTGAAAGGTATAAAGTTCGTCTTGTTGTCAAAGGTTCCACCCAAATGAAAGGCTTTGCTTTCTTGATATGTTTTCTCTTATTGCTAAGCTTACGACCATTTATCTTGTCCTTGCACTTGTTGTCATTCATCATTAGCACCTCAAACAATTAGACGTCAACAATGTTTTCCTTCATGGTGATCTTAATGAAGATATTTATATGCAACTACCACCAGGCTTGACTGCTTCTCAGCAACTCGGTCAAGTCTATCGACTCCAACGTTCTCTCTATGGCCTTAAGCAGGCCAACCGTCAGTGATTTGCACGACGCTCCTTATTTCTCTTATTCAGTGGTTACAAACAGTCACCATCCGATCATTCTCTCTTTTTGAAAAAGTTGGGTTTCACAATCACCATTATCTTCATTTACGTGGATGACATTGTTCTATTAGGAAATAATATTGTGAAAATTACTCACTTCACCTCTTTACTTGACTATGCCTTCAAGACTAAGAACCTTTGGTGATTTGTGATTCTTCTTGGGCCTCGAAGTTGTCTGTAGCCCTTCTGGTATAAACATATGTCAACAACGTAAATATACCCTTAATCTCCTTTCCTACAATGGCTTGCTTGCCTCCCAACCAACATCTACACCAATGGATTACTCCCTAATCGTCGACTGATTGGACGACCCAATTACCTTGCCACTACAATCTAGACATTGTTTTTGTTGTACAACAACTTAGTTAATTTGTCTCTCAACCTACAACCTCTTAGCATCAAGCTGCTTTTCATGTTTTACTTTATCTAAAGCCCATTTTTCTCATGACTTCTAGTAGTACCCAGCTCAAGGCTTTTAGTGACTTTGATTGGGTTGGGTGCCCTAAATCACGACGTCCTATTACTAGTTTCTCCATTTACATTGGTAACTCTTTCATCTCCTGGCACTCCAAGAAGTAACTGATAGTCTCACGCAACTCTTTTGAAGCTGAATACTGCGTTTTAGCTTCCACTACTGTGAAATTCAGTGGTTAACATATTTATTAAATGACATTGGTGTTTCTTTCACACGTTCAACTTTGATTTATTGTGACAACTAATTTCCACTTCAAATTGCTTCCAACCAAGTCTTCTATGAATGTAACATTAATATAGACTGTCATATTATCCGGGAAAAAATTATTAATAGTTTGATTAAGCAGCTACCAGTCTCTTCTTCCTCACATATTGCTGACATACTCACAAAATCTCTTTCTCCCGCTATGTTTCATAACATTTATTCCAAGTTGGGTATGACCAATATTCATGTCCAACTTGAGGGGAATCTTAATTGTATCATATCTGCAACAGAAACATATTTTTTGTAACAGAATTGCACCTCCACATTTCTTTTATTTTTCATGTAAACACTTTCTGTTATTCTGCCCTTTAATTTTATTATTACTATCAATATATATCATCTCACTATCTAATACATAAGATTTTATTTTGGTCATTACACCTCACTGTACGTTTCCTTCCTCTCCCTTTTTTTTTTTACTTTATGAGTTTTGACATGACAATATGTATAGGGATTATATTTGGTCCCATATGTATTATAAAATTTTAAGTAGGTTTGAGACATATAATTCCTCATTTTGACAATTAGGATCGTCAATTGAAGATTTATGATTGAAGGAATTAGTCTCGTCTTGTATGTTAGGTTTCTCTTTCTTTATTATTCAAATTTGAGAGTATTATTATTTTGATGTATTGGCAGCTTATATGCACTTGTCTGTACATTTGATTTAATTCTATTATACTCATATTTTGATATCAGGAGAACTTGATTGACTTGTGTGGTGAGATTTTACTTGTTGTATAAGAAAGGGATTTCCTATGTTATTGATTATTGTTGTTGTTCACTGCTTCATGTTTGTGTTATTCTAATTGGGAAATGAAATCAATAGTAAAGAGAATTTGCCATCACTAAAATTGTTATATAACTGTTATTTAGGAATAAAAGAGTTGCATGTGTAGGTAAAATTGTGCACTACATAATAATCATAGAGAAAGGAAAGATAAAGGATCAAATCAAATAAAAAAGACTTTATTTTTATCGAGAAAATATATAGCTGTGAACTTCAACAATATTACTAGGGATCCTAGTGTTTAGCAACAAGTGTGTTGAGCTTGTTTATGAGTATATCAAAGTCATCTTGGCTTCTAATGAGACTGAGACGCACGTAATGATTATCAGCACTGTACACACTTCCTTGACGACCATTGATGCCAGCAGCTTCAAGGATTTCATAGCAATTCTTGTCTTCTTCTCTCTCACACTTCAACCAAGCGTAAGCTGTGATGTCAAGAAATTCAAGCCAAATTGTTATTTAAAACCACATGAAAACCTGCACTTTATGTTATTGGTAATTGATGTTTACCTGGTGATAGATCTCTTTCCCTCTTGAAGAAGGTGCAGTATTGGGGAGAAAGTTTCTGAAGAGAAAAACGTTTTGATTTAGATATGGTTTCTTTCAACCTTTTCCAACGATTTGTCATGGTTGAATATGCAAATTGGAATATCTCTTTTTCATCATCTCCATGGAGAACCACGTCCAAAAGCTTTAAAGCTCTCAGCTGAGCCTCGCGGGAAACTCCCATGGTGTTCATTTCCAAATATGTTAACATCTTTTCATATACTGCCTCATCCTTTATTATTGCCCATCTGTTAAAACATTACAATGATTAATAATAACAAATGTTCATTTTCATAGAATTGTATGACTTTGGTTAATGAATGTTTCATAGAATATCTCACCCAAATCTTGAACCAGCATGGCCTGTGAGCTTTGAAATTGTAAAGATCATGAGATCATCATCAGCTGGCGAAGGAATGGGGGTGTAATGTGGCCAATAATAGGCACGATCATTGATGGATTTTACATTATCACCTTCAAGAACTTCCTTAGTCAACTTTCCATCTGGATTGTTTGGTGAAGTCACAAACTCAATGAATGTGTAGTTGCTATCTGTCTTGTTTATCCAAGATGAAGTGTCTCCTTCATAACTGAAATCCCTAGAATTGAAGAATTGTGTCTGTGTTCTATACACCTGCGCAGCAAAAAGTTTGTTAAGGACAAAAATTCAATTTCAAGTTGAAAAGGACATGATAAACAAATTGGATACAAGTGGAACTCACAGGGTAATATGGTGCTGTGGCTACTACTTTTGCTGGAGAAGAGTGGTTGGGAGACAAGGCATAAACTGCAGCATTGAGGAGTTGTGTTGAGCCACTTCCAAATACAATGTGCTTTCCTTCAGTGATTGCATTTCCAACTCTGGCATGAAGTTTTTGGAGGTAGTCCAGCAATAGTTGTGAGATGTATGATCCATCACTGTAAGTGTAACCCATTCTGTGCCACCCTGATACCAAAACCCCACTGCTTGCAGCATGTTTCGTCCAAAATGGCTCCAGAAAGTATGGATCTCCACTGCAATTAACATACTCAATCAATTTTACCACTCACAGTTTTCTCTAGGAGTTCAATGAAATAGTTATATGGAACTTTTATTATACAATGTTTATTAAATAAGATGCAATTTATATATGAATGAATGAGATCCATTAAAAAAAATCTCAAATAATTGAATTAGTTCAGAAATATTTATTGGATTAGCTCAGAATAATTGAATAGTGATCATAAAAATTGCCAATATATGTATAATAAAATCGTTATTTTAGAATTTAGTCATTCTGAACAAGATTTTGATATATTTTTTAAGTTTATGTATTTTTAATTTGAAAACATGTTTTAAAATATTAAATTAAATTATTTATTACATGAATTAAATAAAATTTATCTAATTTAACATTCATAACAATGTATATATAGATATATATATATATATATATATATATATATGAATTTACTTTAAATTTTAAAATCAATATTTTTAATTTGATATTTAATTCAAACCTTTAATATTTAATTTTTTGTATTAATTTAATGTTAACATAAATTTAAAATAATTACGCTAATAATAATTATTATTCATAAAATAAAACAATATTTCGTTATTGACCTATAATATTTAAATCAATTGTAATGTTACATTATTAACCTAGTATTAAAATTATTTAAAATAAATATTAAAATTTGCATATTATTTACTTACTAAATTAATTGATACATTTTTAAATTATAATATAGTTAATTATTTATTTTAATTATATATATATAATTTTCAATTTATAATCATAATATGAAAAAGCAGTATATATGAAAAATATTATAATAATTATTTTTATAGAACTTAGATGTTTAATAAATATTATAATCTATAATTACTTTAATTTAATATTTTAAAATTATATTATCAAATTAAAATTACGTATACATAAAAAAAATCAAAATCTATATTAGAATTTGATTATCAAGAATCAAATTCTAAACATATTTTTCCAAGGATATTGATAATTTTGATGATGAGAATTAGGTTTGTGAAACCAAATTGTGAACTACCATATTAAATAAGTCTATTCTGAATTCTGATAATATTTAGATGGAAAAATATTTTTGGGTGTGAGTTTATTTGAAAAAAAAATTTGTTTAAAAAATAGTTTTTCGGAAAAATGGTTATATATATGAACATGATTAATTTACTCACTATTTTTTAAATTAAATATTTTGTAAAAGGAACATACTCCTATGGAATTAATGTTAATCCCATGCATATGGTTGCTAAAAAACTTAAATCAACTACCCAATTAGTAATTAATTTACCATTTTTTTCCTAAACTTTTTTATATCATTACTTTCCAATCCAAATTTTGAAAGATCTTGGTTTCTGAATATTTTGTTCATTAATATTTTTGTTTTTCTTGTCAGAAACACATTAATGACGACATAAGAGTGGTTATGTCTACCACTTCTTATGGTATAAAATAATAATAATAATAATAATAATAATAATAATAATAATAATAATAATAATAATAAATAAAAATAAAAAATCAAACGTAACTTTGTCTTTAGACATTTCAATGATGTGCGACACACAGGACTTTTCAACTAGGAAAAAGGGTGACTCTGTCCCGTTCTTGTCATGTTATTTAAAGGACGGGCCCACGGTGAATGCAATAGTTTCTCAATATTTTTTTTTATATAAAATCTTTTCATATATATTTTTATTTATATAAATAATTTTTAATTTATTAAATATTTTTATTAGATAATTAAAAATTATTATATTTATATATTTAAAATAATTAATTATATTAATTATTTAAATTTAATTTTTGTTTAAAGGGAGTCAATCTATCCTATCTTACTCATCTTTGACATGTTAGATTAACATATTAGACCGGACGGACTAAAATGAATAGATAGACTAAAATTATCAGTATGTTTTATCATTTTTAAAGTAAGTTGACAAGTCAATTCGTCAAACTTAATCTATTTTATTATTCGTATTTCTAATTTTCTTTCTTCCTTGATATGTTATTAAAAAATAAAATAAAATTATTAACATAGATTAAATAGAAAAACTAAGATTAGTAAAAATTTGGATAATAAAAATTTTAAAAATAATTTAAAGACAAAAAAATATTAAATAAACAACAACAGATAAATATTCATAAATAAAATTAAAAAAATATAAAGAAATATAATAGTTTAACTAACATTATTTTTATTCATATAAGATTAGTCTCTCAATTTTTTTTTATAGTCAATTTATTCGAACAAATAAGAAATTAAAAATATAGTTGAAAAAAAAAACTCGTAACTATCACATTAGACATTTCAATGATAGGGACACAATATCCTTGCTATATCATAAAAAAACAAAATTCTTAACTTAGATAGATACAATAAAAACTAATATCAGTCAAAATTTTGATATTAAAGATAAAAAAAAATTAAAATAATTTAAAGAAAAAAAAAAATATATATATATATATATATATATATATATATATATTAAATGGATAGTAGATAAATATTCATAAATGAGACTAAAAAAATATAATAATTTAACTCACATTAATGAATATAACATCTCTCATTATTATTATTATTATTATTATTTTTTTTTTCATTTTTATGGTCAACTTATTACAACAAATAAGTAATTAAAAACATAGTTTAAAAAAAAAAAAAAAAAAAAAAAAAAAAAAAAAACTAAACGTAACTATCTCATTAGACATTTCAATGATGTGTGACACACAAGACTTCCAACAACCTTTCTGTCATTAATAAAGAAACAAAATTCTTAGCACAGATAAAATTGAAAAACTAAGATCAGTTAAAATTTTGATATAAAAATATTAAAAAATAAAATAATTTAAAGATAAAAATATATTAAATAAACAACAACAGATAAACATTCATAAATGAGATCTCTACACACTCATATAAGAAAAATTCAATTCCTTTTATAAAAAAATTACTTTATGAAACTCTTTTGCAGATGGAAAAGGTTAATCAAGAATGTAAAATTTAATTGTAAATCAATGTAGAAAGAAATTTTCGAAAACAATTGCAACTTCATAGATAGATATGTAAGAAATGATGCAATATTATATATTGAGACCATAGATTGAGTTCTTAGCAGTTAGTATATTGAACTGATGCAAAGGGTCTAGGGTTACCTTCCAGCATTGGCAGAACAATTAGATAAGAACTTGGAACAATCAGATCCAGTGTAGCAATCATGGCACTCACAACCAGGTTGATGGCCTTTAAGAACAACACCATCTAAGTATGCTTTTCCATGTCCTGAGCATTCTATGGCTGCCACAGTCTCAGCTTCTTCTGCAGCTTTTCTGCTCCAAGTGGCTTCCCATTCTCCCCTGCAAACCATCATGTTTGAACCACACAACACAATCATGAATGTCACAATGAATGTTAACTTCATTGGACTTGTTTTTTTAGCCATTCTCTCTGATGTAGTTTTTCTTTTATGAAACAATATTCATTCAATTTCTCAGTTCAACTTTCTGATATGAAGTGCCTCATGCCATGCATTTATATAGAGATTAAGTCTTCGGGTTTGAACATAATATCTTTTCAAAATTAAGGATAATGACTGATATATAATAGAGTTTATTAAGTGTACGTTTCTGGTTCTGAAAATTAGGGCATGTGACAAAGGAAAAAAAAGAAAATCATATTAATAAAGGAAAATTCTCTAGCCATCGTTCATTACAAATACAGAGCACCAATAAATAATGTTAAATTAAATTGAATAATATAGAGTGTCCTAGGATGACATCCTTACCGTCAATTTTTACAATTAAAGTATTGTCAGCTTTTAAATTATTACATGTTATGTTATGATTTTGTTTTTAAAAAATGTCTTAGTAAATTAAGAGATGGAAATGTACATAAACTACTCTTTAATCTCAATTTCTAAACAATGTGAGACACAGAAATATATCCAAACAATATAACAAAACTTACTAATTTTAAAAAATTTAATAAATTGTTAAATAAATATATTTATATAATTACTTAAATGTGAGTATTCTGTTTTTGTAATTATTTTGTTTACATGTACTGAAATTATTTTTATGGTAAAAAAATATCATAAATACTTAATAGAGAAGAAACTAAAAAATAACAAAATAATTTTATTTTTATTTTATTTTATTTTTATCATATTTTTCTCCCTTTGTACTTAAAAGATATGTTATACATAAATAATGTTTTCCATCATTAATAGTATGAGTATGTTGGACAATTTCTTCTTAACGTCCTTTTAAAAAGAGAACAAAAATAAGAAGAAAAAATTATATTAAGTTCTTCATAAACTAATTTTTAAATGTATTTTAGGGTCGAAATTTATTTAAAGTCTATTAGTAAATAAAATTAAAGAAAATAATTTATAATTTCATTAATTAAAGTCAATTACGAAAGATTAGGGACTATTATAAAATTAAAATTTTGATATAATTTTATACTTTAAAATAAATTTTAAAATAAAAATATAAGTTACCCTTAAAGGTCTTAGTGAGAGCCATTAAGGTATAAATATTTGAAATATAGAGATATATTCCATGATTATATATTTTATTGATTATTAAATATTTTCTATACTCATAAATATATATATATATATATATATATATATATATATATATATAATTCAAAATGTTGCATGAAAGATAAAATTTATAAAAATTAAAATTTCATTATCTCAATAATTAAATTTAAAAATAAAAAAACTTTGAAAGATTTCTTCTTGTTGTTGTTGAACAATGGGATAAAGATGCAGAAAAATCTAGAAGAATGAGTCATAGGCTAATTATACAAATAAATTTAACATTATAGTTAAGTCAAGCTTAGGTTTTTAAAAAAAATCATAAAACAAAGTCAATAAATAATTACAAACTAATATTTATGAATATGATGTGAGGTGAAAATACAATTTTATTTTATTTTTATCATAATCCTTTCAATCCCTATCGGTCAAAATAACTAAAAGTTGAATAGATAATGAAATTTGGAAGTCTCCTCAGTAGTTTCTAAAAACGTGTACAAAAAAAAAACATAATTTGACTCGAAAATATTCATGAGTAATTGTATTTTCAAAACGTATATAATTGACTTACATAACCTAAATAACAACATAAATTATAAAAAAATATTAGTTTTTGACATTGTTTGATATATATTTCTATGATGAAACTTAGTCCCGTGATAAATGATAATTGAGATTATTTAATAAGAATAACAGAATGTCATCCAATATATAATTGAAAAACGTATTAAGGAACTTTGTAATAAAGTATATATGATCCTACAAATGATATTAATAATATGATAAGAGAAAATTAACCACAATTAGTTATTATATTAAATATAAACTAAAGCCCTCAATGAATAATGTTAAAAAAAAAAATTCTTTTTGTCAAAATTTAGATTAGTCTTTAAAATACAAGATAGACTTAAAATATATTGGTATGTTCGTCAAGATGAGGTTAATAATATTTTTTATATATTTTCTCTTCTTATTTTATTTATATATTTTTTAATAATAAAATTTTCACGTAATAATTAATCATATTTATTATAACATATATAAGATTAAATTAATCTTATTTTAAGATAGAACATCAATATCCATTATTAAAATTAAAATCCTCTTTTACATAAGATTTGATATTAATAATAATTTATATATATTTTTTTTAATCCACTAAAATATTTTTTAAAGATAAATTATGACTTAAAATTAACAAAATATTTAAAATATAATAATAAATTTTAAAAATTTTATAATAATAAACATCAAAATCAAAATAATCTTATTTTTAAATTAAATAAACCAATTAAATAATAAAAAAAATACCACAAGTCATGTCATGTTTTATTTATCGTAGAAGTGATGATATGAAAATTCTACATATAATTAATCTTGAATTTTGACTTTAAATTGGTCTAAAATCACGGGATAAGAAATATCAACGTGAGTGATTTGATTTGAATATTATGTTTAATTTATTATCAACGCTTGAATAGGGAAGAATTTTTTATTATTAAAATGAAGTCATCTAACGTGTGCACGTGGACAAATTTTCTGACGGAAACGTTTCCGTAGTATATATACAGGGTGTGTAATTTAAATTTTTTTCTTTCCTTAATTTTTCAGTATTTATCCTTAATTTTTGAAAATTCATCATTTTCAAACCAGTATTTATACAGGGTGTGTAATTTTATTTTATTTTTTCATGAAAGGAAGGTAATTGTTATAATTAAAAACCATTAAATTGCATCGTTATTCCATTTTATATATATGCAGCTTAAAGCCGTTAATTATTTTACTTTTAGTCTACTTATAATATTTATCGCTTAATCTTTGTTTCACATCCTTAAATGTTTAACATGCATTTGTCATTGTCTAATCATTTACGACAATAGGAATTTTATTCAAAGACATTAGCTGAAATTAAAATTTAAAATGGTGATCTTACAATTCATATTTTAGTAAGTAAAAGTAGACCTAGATTAAGTTTATTCAATAACAAGATAATACCAAATTCAATCTTACAGAACGTACATTAATACACAAAAGAAAACGGGTTGATTTGGTCAAGGAGAAAGCTTATAAAATGTATTATTTGACAAACTAAGACACGAATTTGATATATAACACAAGGGTTTGAGGCTTCTCATTATACTTTTGTTGTAAAGTGTTTGAATCTCGATCAATGCTCAACAATAATAATCCAATGAAAATATGATTGAAATCCTAAAAAATAATTATAATTCTAATTTTAATAAAAAAAATAAAAACATAAATCATTAACCTCAATCATACAATAATCCTCCTGTAAATGCTCTAATCTAATAAAAAAAATCTAAAATCATAAATAACTCATAATGATGTTATCACTATGCTCATTATGACAAAAAAAAACGTTTAAGAAAATCATTATGGCATTATCATCATTATCACTCAAAAGAAAAATATTTGTGAAGTCAAATCGAACGAGATCAAACGTACAACATAAATTTTAAATTTTATGTTGAACTGAAATCTCAAAATGCGAAAATAGAAAACAAGATATATATCTAATCATTTTCTTTTATCATTTTTTTAATATTTTGTTTTTTTAATCTCTTATATTAACTAGTTCATTACATAATTCTTTTTTTTTTTACCTTTTGCTTCTTCACATTTTCTTAAACTCTACTTTAACATTAAAAACTTTAAAGGCATATAAAGTTTCTTCCTTCAAATGAAATAAAAAAAAAACATATATTATGAGTAATCATCTATAAAGATGATAAAGTATCTCGAACTACTTACATTACAATAAATATTGTATAAATAATTTCAAGTAAATTTGAACTCCTCTCGAGTACCCTTCTTGAACTTGTTAGTTTGTTAATCTTTAATGCAATCCACACAATTCTCAAAAATAGTAAAATCTAAAGTATTATGTACTTCATCATTTGATTATCTCAATGAAGATAAGTCTCAACTTATGGTGTTACAACATTGAGAAGTTCTCATTCACAACACATCATTTTAACCCAATAAAAACATGCATACAACTATAAGTATCATAGTTTTGTAAATTAATGGATTAAAGACCACCACACAATACCTGTCCCAATTCTCAAATTCATGACATTTAAATATTCCTTATATCAATATATATTATGGTAATAATACACAATTATAAATTTAGTACCAAGTTAAACATGATGGAGGTAATAACAATTATAAATTTAGTCACAAGCTAAATATGGTAGTGGTAACGAAACTCGCCAAATTTATTTTAACCCCAAGTTAAACATGACAAAGGTAATGAAACTCAAAATATTTTTTTAGCCCTGAGCTAAACATGGCAGATGTAATGAAACTCGCAAATTATAAATTTAACTCCTAGCTAAACATGGTAGAGGTAATGAAACTCACCAATTATAAATTTAGTCACAAGCTAAACATGGTAGAGGTAATGAAACTTGTCAAATATTATTTTAACCCCGAGCTAAATATGACAGAGGTAATGAAACTTGCCAATTATAAATTTAGCCACAAGATAAACATGGTGGATGTAATGAAATTCACCAAATATTATTTTAGCCCCAAGTTAAATAAGGGGAAGATAATAAAATTTGTCAAATATTATTCCAACACGCTAGACGTAGTCACCGTAGCACATCATCACTAAACGTAGCTATCACAACAAGTCATTATTGGATACAGGTATCACAACACGTTAATATACATTAAAATTGAATTAGGTTTTATCCGAGTTATATTCATCTCAATTATATATTCAAATTATATTGAGTTAGATTTTGTTCAAGATATATTATTCGAGAACATCATTTGAACGCGTCATTATACCA